ATCTTCTTAGCCACGGGATCATCAGTGCCGTGATATCTGAGAAGTAATATTCAATCGCACACACCAAATCTTGAGAGAACATTCCTCCCTGTTCTGACCTGTCCCGTATATTCTGATCGTTTAGATCATTTCCCTCAGGCTTAGGCATCTCATGACGATACCTAAGAGACAGTGATAACGATGGGCCTCCAGATGGGCAGCAATGGTCCTACGGGCATTCATCCCCGCGATTGCATGTGCCTTTAACAAAGAAGGAGCATATCCTAGCCTGGTTCCGTTCGTAGTACGGTGCGGTCCGGGCCAACTGAAATGAGCAGCTTGAGATGACTACCGAAGCTGAGGAGGCAAGAGTACCTTCTGCAGCATAGGATGATGCTTTAGCTTGCCATAGGTCAATGCTGGATTGGCGTTTTGAGAATTGTTGAGGGCCTGGTAGTCCCGACCAACAGTCGACTCGGGTAGACTTAACTTCTCAGCCTCTGACAGGAACTGACAAAAAACTATGGTCAAACTCCTGGATGACCGACGACAAGCCGAGCTTACCTTATCTCGAACCTGCACTGGGAGCCCGAAGTCCAGGTCGAAGATGCAAACTTGGCAGACGTTTTTCATCCTAGCACAGTTCTGGCAAAGTACGGTCTGCTTGTACCTGCATGCTGGTCATCAGCATCATCATCATCGTATTCACTTCTACTTCGTTTTACTACTACTACTACTACTACTACTACTACTACTACTACTACTACTACTACTACTACTACTACTACTACTACTACTATTATTATTATTACTACTATTATTACCTCCCCTTGGAGCCAGCTTTCCATCGGAACATAGTATAGGGCCTCTCACATATCTTACATTCATCACCCATGGGTTCCTTCTGCATTCTAACATATGGGTTGTCACCTGAGGTAGCAGTCGACTACTACTACTACAATGTACAGTGTAGGAGGGTGTAGTACCAAGACAGGTCTCACAGACGATGGGGAAGGTGGCCTCCTCTGCCCCTATATGGTTAACACCCGATACTATCTGCTCTCCACGCTCACCCATAGCAGCTGGGAAGGATTGCCGGAGGAGACGGCACGTGGAGGAGAAATTGCGTCACGCGCCACGAAATTCAAGGTGGCAGTCATCCTCAGACCACTGCCAGTGTTGGAATATATGTTGGCTTTACTCAGCTGAGCTTAGGGGTTTCCTCACTTATTAGAGGAGTTTATATCCGAATTCGAGTAGAAGTATACAGAGACCAATAAGAAATTCCCAGAATTTCTTACGAAAATTTTCACCACCAACACATGTGCTTATTTTCCAATTGTGAACTCTTGTGGAGGATAAGTCAAGTCTATAATCCCAAAGTATTCCCCCCGACTGTTTTAATGGACCGAGGACTCCTTAATCGGGCCACTGCAGCAGATGCCCAGCCAACACCAGGCTACATGTACCTCGAAATCGCCAGTAACATACCGCACCATCTCCACCTTAATCGCATATAACTCGCTTCATTCAGAGATGACATATGCACCCAATGGATCGCATCAGCTGGAGGACTACCTATGTAATAAGATAACCTCCAAAGACGATGCCAACGTCAAGTTCAAGTGTTTGAGGATAATTCGGTAGTGATGGTCTTGTGACCATGTGGGAGGTAGTAGTGGGTTAGGAATATCCTGGACCCCGATGCACAAGTGCAGGCCAGTATGGACTTCAGGAAGAGGATACAACGGTGAGGGACAGGATTTGGCGGAGTTACGGTATTGAGAATATCCTCAGACGAGCAGATGTGGTGAAGTCATGTCGGATGTACCGAGGGCCTGTCGACCCACTGAGAGGTGATGCTCCGAGTAAAGCAGTTCGAGAAGAGGCCGAGGCAGCGTTGAAGATGATATTCAATGAGGCCGCCGCCTCTGTCGGCTCACAGGAGTCTCGGCAAGCTACTGTTCCCTATTCTGGTCTGCATGACAGGATTAAGGTAGTACGGTGTGGTATAGGTACTATAATCACTGTTAGTAGGGGTTTGGCTCTACTACAGAGGGCGGCCCACCTCCTCCGAATGCATGGGGAGGAGCACCACCACCTCCGCAGCAGCAACAGCCAATACCGTACCCAGGTGAAGATAAGTGATTTCGTTAGATACGGCAGTGTGTTTGGAACAGGTGGTGTGTATCCTGGCCCACCAGTGAGTACCGGTCGCATGCAGGGTTTTGGTAATCCCGAATTCAACGATTACAATAATACTCAACCGGTAG